TGCGTCTAACTTCTTTCTGTTGGACGTAGGAAATCCGTGCTACACGCATCGTCGCACATGTTGGAGTGGGACTGAATATACGCGAAACCCGTTTAGCGCGTTTATAAACCGTTTTCTGTCAAAATATAGGTAGAATAACAAGCAATGGCAGCCATTTCGAAAATTTAAAAAAATGCTTGTTATTCTTCCTATATCTTTTTTTAAGTATAAATCTGCGATGGCCCTATAGCCAAATATCTTTCCCATGACATACTCTGACTGTGTGCCAAATTCCATGCTTTTATCAACAAATAAAAAATTCCATCAATATGTGCACCAACCTGCATGATACAGAGATGACATTTTCAACCTTTTAATAGTCAATGTAGCGCCCGAAACCGCCCTGCCTTTTACTCACTGTAGTGACCGAAACCGCCCGAGCACCGTGGTTTTATTTATTCTTCAGTGAATAAACACAAAGTAGTGCAATACAAGTAGCCAAGCCAAATAAACAAGCAAAATCAAAACAAAAAAGGAAAAACAGTATGTGACAAGTTCTAATTTAATATGTCACAAAATTCGTCGCGTTTTTTAAATACTGGCGAACAGGTTGCACCGCGCCTTTTCCATACTGGCGAACAGTTAGGCATATGCACAATTGTAAACATGTTCGCCAGTATGAAAAAAAAAACTGCGACGAAATTGTATCGCTTATACACTGCAAAAACTGTAGTGTTAATTTAACACCATTCGGTATCTATATAGGACAACACCAGTAAAATTGAACACCAGATGGTCCTATATAGATACCAATGGTGTAAATTTAACACTCCAGTTTTTGTAGTGTACGAACTACTATTTTACTCTTTTAGAAGTCGTATTTACATGTCCTTAATTTTGTACCTTTTTGCCTTTTTATCTTTTGTTTTAAATTGCGATCTGATGGGTTTTCTTATTATCTCCAACATTTTTCTCAATTCTTTTTATGAATTATCTCAAACATGCTTCATTTCAGGGAGCCTAAGGGAGTAACATCTGATTTCTCTTTTTATTGTTCAAGAGAAAAATATAAGAAGTGATTAATATGGCTACTTTTTGGCTTCTCTTTTGTGGCCTTATTACATGATCATCCTGCGTTTGTTTAGTTTGACATTAGATGTGGTTGTATGTGTGCAATGTACAAATGCCTTGACTCGTCACACTCTTAAAAATGTTTTTGTTCACTTTGGTCAATTTCATGTTTTATGTGTAAAACAACAATTGTTCCATAACGTTAATACCTCGTTGTAAAACATCGCATAAAATTGACTTTTTTATGAGTGCAACAAGGACTGATGACATTTTATTGGGGGATTTTTGTAAATGCACTGAACCAATCGGTATTGGGGTATTCTGTGTCTTCTCAGGACCTATAGGTTGAAACATTATGGGGATAGGGCATGGATTTCCCATCGAACCTACGACAACAGTCAGGAAATTTTACCAAATTTCGCGCCGAAGTGGTTTGGAGTTTAACTTAATTAAAATTCAGAGGGGACACATCTCCCGAACGTATTCAAGAAAATTGTTTCACATTCCCTTAGCACATACTTAGGCCGTCTAAAAAAGTCTATTGCACTCCATATTGGATTTCTTTGTTCTTGGGAAAAAAACGATTGCACGCACCCAATATAAAGTGATAAATCAAGTCTAGGCTGATTCCAGTAATAAAAGGCGATCAAACTCCTGCATTAATTAGAATAATTATGGTTATACCAGTCCGGATGTCACACAGAATGTCGCATTTAAATTCAGGTTTTTTTGTTATTTAATATCCCAAAAGGAACTTAAAAAGTGGTATCATCCATTTTCATATTGCTGTTAAAATTTAGATTTTACGCCTGAAAAAAAAATTAATGAAAATTAGTTTTAGACATTCCTTGAACATTTGCATATTGCTTGTATAATAGTTTTAACTAATAATATTTGTTGCGAAAAGTGTCAAAACTAAGGCTTTCACGCCGACTCGATAGGCCTGTGAACAATTGGAATTTGAAGCAAACTAATTATAATCAAGTGTAAAAAGAATCTAACCATTTTTGTTGTTAAAATATTATTACTTGTGTTAATAGTAAACATCTCCATATGTCACTTGTATCAAGTGTTTTGGAAATTCATCAACAAATTAAAATGAAATATAAAGCTAAGCAGGTTGAATGTGTATTTTAAATATTAATGGGTGTTTGTGTAGGCTGTTTAGTTGAGTGCAAGATTTTTACCTGAACCAAACTTGACTGCACTTGTAACATGCGTGAATACTTTTCCTTGAGTCTATTACCAAGTTTTGTAGCTAGAAGTTTAAAAATGGATTTCCTTTAATCGAAAAATCAAGCACTACAAAAATATGTTCCAACGACCGATGAAGTTGAATAAACTGAGCGATACGAACATGTTAAAAAAAGCACATGGCGTCATTTGAGTGAACACGTTTGTTCGATTTGATTATCTGTCCATGAAATCCTTTCTGATATGAGATGGACGAGGCTCGCCTCGCCCGCCGCAAGCGAGGGATGCGGCTACTTTCCCCCGACAAGACTCGTGACAATTCCGCGTAAAGCCACAAGAAACATCGAATAGCTCCGCGATCTATTCTGGTCTACTAGCGCCTTGAACCAAGACTAATCAGCGCTAATGACCAGACACCTCAGACTTTCAAGGCTTTGGTTGCTTTTCTAGCTCTGTTGGTTGTTCAGTGGGTTGGCAAATGTGCACATAATTGCCAGACTTTGCCCTTTTATCTCTTTGTTATCGAACAATTTGTGCAACACCTCCATTCAGTGACTGCAAAGTTTGCATGGTGGAAGGTTAGCCTATAGTTGCTAGATTTTCAGTAGCACATGCATGAAATCAAATCTGTTGTGTGACTTTGTGAGGTTCTGAAAAGAAGTGGTTCGACCTTTCAAACAGTATGTTCTGTCCGTACTCTGTAGGTGCTCGTATGTTGCGAACTTTATAAGGAACTAGCTGGAGGCTTTCTCGCGAAAACACTGTATAAGCATTGCAGTTCACTGGAAAGGCACATAGAGCTCAGCCCGATTTCAACCATTTAGGAAATTTCCCCCATATTGTACAATATGACTGCACGTCAAGCTGCTGTGGATTTGCAGGCCCTGTCAGAGAGTGGTGACTACTATAATACGGCTCTTGATCTGTATGATCGCGGGAGTAGAAGAATTCAGAGGTTAAGTGAATGGGTGGATGAGAATCTACCTGCGCTGGCTGAGTCAATCAGTTCTGGTTTACGAGAGGATGAAGAGTTGACGGTGCTTAGTGTGGGACCCGGAGAAGGTAGGATCAGCAACGTTCAGATGAATCCGATCACGTGATCAATGTACACTTATTGAGGCCTCCTTCAATGGCGAAAGCATTGTGGCTGGCTATTGTACAGACTTAGTCTACGACAGTTACCCTGAACAAAGCTTTCGCCATTGAAGAGGCCGTACGTGATAGAAAAAGTGATGGAGTGCCATCAGACGAACACTTCGGCCAAAAGCCGTTCAAATAATATTAATTCATTTATTTCGTCTTAAACCAGGGAAGTCCCGCCAGTTATCAAAGAATTGTGTACCCATGGGCCATTGGTATATGGCTATAGGTCCTTACTTTCCTCAGCCCATAGGCTCCCATGGGCCATTGGTATATGGCTATAGGTCCTTGGTTTCCTCAGCCCATAGGCTGCCATGGGCCATTGGTATATGGCTATAGGTCCTTGCTTTCCTTAGCCCATAGGCTCCCATGGGTCATTGGTATATGGCTATAGGTACTTGCTTTCCTCAGCCCATATGCTCCCATGGGCCATTGGTATATGGCTGTAGGTCCTTGGTTTCTTTAGCCCATAGGCTCCCATGGGCCATTGGTATACGGCTATAGGTACTTGCTTTCCTTAGCCCATAGGCTCCCATGGGCCATTGGTATATGGCTATAGGTACTTGCTGTCCTCAGCCCATAGGCTCCCATGGGCCATTGGTATATGGCTATAGGTCCTTGCTTTCCTCAGCCCATAGGCTCCCATGGGCCATTGGTATATGGCTATAGGTCCTTGCTTTCCTTAGCCCATAGGCTCCCATGGGCCATTGGTATATGGCTATAGGTACTTGCTTTCCTCAGCCCATAGGCTCCCATGGGCCATTGGTATATGGCTGTAGGTCCTTGGTTTCCTTAGCCCATAGGCTCCCATGGGCCATTGGTATATGGCTGTAGGTACTTGCTTTCCTTAGCCCATAGGCTCCCATGGGCCATTGGTATATGGCTATAGGTCCTTGGTTTCCTCAGCCCATAGGCTACCAGCTCAAAATACATAACCCAATCGTCGTTCACTTCAACTGTGAAGTGATACTCTACATGGAATGACGTCCTAATTATTAAGTACTCAAAATAACATGATTCAAATCTGTTAAAAGTGGCGCAGCCAGGATTTTGTCAAGTGGGGAGGGGGGCATCAGCATAATATGGGGTGGCACCTAGGGCGGACCTGAAACCAAATTTTCCCCAAATGTCCAGGAGCTGCAAACTCAAAAAGCGGGGGGGGGGGGGGGGGGGGGGGGATGTTCGGCGCGGCGGGCGGGGGGGGGGGGGACCTTGATCTCTTAAGACGGTAGAGTGCTCTCTGTTTACTTACCAGTTTATTCACATTTCATAATAAAGCCGTAGGGTCAAGGGAAATAAGGGGAGTACAATCGAGTAAAAAATAGTCAACTTCACTCCGCTTTTGTTTCATAAGCTAAAAACGATACTTTAAAAATTCCTTAGCAGGCGGCAATTTCTTTTTCTTGGGGGGGGGGGGGGGTGTTTGGGCACTGGGAATATGTAGTGGGGAGAAGCGGGGGGACGTGCCCCCGCCGCCACCCCTCCCCCGGCCACGCCACTGCTGTTTACTCGACACAGAGATGCATGACGATTATGATTGACAGACCACGTTATACCGGTAGGCTTCGGTAGAAGGTGATCGCCTCATAATAATCCCGTTCACACGCTAAATTTCTACGAGAAACTGCACTGCGGGGGAATTCTAGTCGTATCGTTGATGGCAGGTAATGACAGCAGTGGAAGGATTTTCTCCTTTACGGTGCACACTATATACGGAATCTCGTCTGTAATGGGTAAATTTCAGCCTTATACATGTAGTATAGCCGTGACAGCGCTTTTACGAACTCAGTGAATAAACCTGAAAATGTCTTTTACAAAACTATCATCTAGTAATGGTCTAGGAGATTACAGACTATGAGTTTTTGATCATTTTCTCTGAATCATTAATAAGATATCATTACACTTTCTTTCGTAACGTTGGAATTGATAAAAACAAATGGGAAGGTGTCCTATTATTGTTGGATTTATGGTTGAGGTTGAACTTAAACTCTCAAAGACACCCTGTCAATGATTAGTGTCTATACACATGCGGGTTTCGATGTTTTTACTTTCTTACATCATCCTCTACATCCCATCGTTGGTTCAATGCCACAACGAAGCTCTTTTTTCTTTATTTTGTAAAACGTTTGCATGAGCCCACCGAAGAGCTACGTTTCGAACATTTGTTTGAGAACGTGACCCCAACCTTGATACCTCATTTCGGAACCATTGCATTCTAAATCTTTTTAACAAGTTGCTTATTGTAAAGACAGTTAACTTTGCTCTTTTCATGAACATTTCATCCAGGTGAAGGGGGCTTTGGAAGATTATGGCAGCACCTCCGCCAAACCTTAGGCATGACAATAGACTTCTTCACGTCCACCGACGTCGAGCATGCCTGTAGGAACCAGAACATACCCATAGCGGAGATACAGACCATCAGCATCCAGTGCGATATCTCGTCCTGCTTCCATCCTCCTCAGCAACTCACTCAAGACGGCAACATCCTTCTTGATTTCCTGACTCATACGGTCAACTTTGCCCAGAACGCCCCGGCCGAGAATCGAGATGATGTGCTTCGGTTCTTGGGGAGTGAGGCTTGTTCAAAGACGGGACCGGCAGGGGAAGTACTCTTTAATGGTTTTGATGCCGCTGTTATCATACGAAAACAGTGATGCCAGATAGACACAACCTAAAGAATATTACTACTTTGCCCCTGCATGAGTGCCTGAAGCGGATCCAGAGCCTATACTCCTTCCTGCATTTTAGGAAGGAGTTACTTCTTTTTGCTTGCTTTTTTTTTGGGGGGGGGGGAGGGGGAGGCGGATGGGTGGGGTTAATAGCTGTGAAACGCATTGAAGACACGTCGGTGCTCTGGCTGTAACTTTCTTCTATTTACTTTTTTTCAAGAGGAAGAAGTTAAGATAAGATTGTTTTGAGGTGAGAATGATAACAACCATGTCAGGGAGAAGTGAGGATGAACGATAATTTTTATTTACAATTCCGAATCTCGGTTACAGTGCAACAAGATCCATTTAATCAACAACTGAGTGTGTAATAAGCTGTTAAATTGCATCACCATCTTCCATTAAATGAATGGCATTACTTTTTCAAGTGGAAAATATTAATAAAAGTTCAAAGCAACTATAGATGATACCATAATAAAGGTAAAAAAAATAATTATCGAAATTAAAAATTTCAAAAATTGAAAGGAGAATATTGAAACATAAATGTGCACAAATGACAATTTAAATTCTTGGTAATAATTCACACGGATTATATACACCAAGAGGCTGAAGGTGCAGAACATTTAAGATTTGATTCCCATAAACATATACATGTACATGCAACCGTCATCTATTCACATGCCCCATGTTAATTTAAATGTGTGGTTTGTCAAATTTTGCAAAATTCCAAACTTGAGTGCGATGCAAATCGCGATTAGAGACATTATATTGATAGCTTTTTATATTAATTTGATATAAGATCGTTCTTACATATATTATTTAGCTTGGTGATCGTATTTTCATGCTGCATATCTTGACCTTATGAGGTTCCTTCCAAGTGTCCCACCTTATGCTTTGATAATCTACTAGAGCAAGGGCATAGTATTTGCCATTAAGATTCGACTGGTAACACCAGTCATACCACCATGCCCCATGGTCGTCTTTGGCACAGCTACCGATCGGTGAATTGTCATTGTCCCTGTCTTTGGTTGAGAACAACTTGCCATTGTGCTTGCTCGTCAGTGAGTCTCCTGCCGTGCTGCTGTCGTTGTATGAGCCGACCGTCAGCTGATAGTTGTCTCCAGAGATTTGAAATTCTCCATATTCTGCGTAGACTCTCTCATTGTTCCAGTCCTCTAAATTGACCCGTAGTTGCCAAGTTCCCTTCTCAGTTAGATTGCGCAAGATGTCATTCCCGATCCAGAACTCGCCAGACAAGTTGCCGAAGCCTACCTGGTAGTCAGCCCAGTCGCGGTAGAAGTCAACGCTGCCATCTTGACGCCTCTGAATGACGATCCATCCTCCGCCGTCAGTCTCCATATCGCAGTAGACCCGGAGACCATGGCCGAATCCAGCAGGAGAGATTATGTAGATACCACTCACAACATGGCCTGCCTCCAGTAACTCCTTGCAACTGTTGTGATGAAACAAAATCGAGGAAACTGTGTAAGCCTGTTGTTGTTTTTTAATTATGCTGATTTGAAAGACTGCAAAAACATAATATTTGGGAAAATAGTCTTTGTAAGGCTTTATACATACCCGTAAAAAGGTTTTACAGTTGTAAGATAACATCAAGCAGAATTTCTCTTAAAAAATTGTGTAACCGTTATCAATGTGATGAAATGAAGAAATTCCACAAATTGTAAAATTTAGAAAGCAATCAGATGATACTGAAATCTTTAGATATTTCTCCCACATCACAACGTGAACATACAAAAATAACATGCCTACCTCGGCTTGTTCAGTGCACTGCCGACGTCCAGGTTTGTTTGTGTTGCTGATGTAGTAGGCATAATGCTGCAGTCCACCTAAATGGAGTAGAAACAAACATTATTCGCACGTGCTGGTATTTTGTCCCCTCAAAAATAATCTTGCTCCAGACTGAGAAACAACTCCGCCGTATAAATTGCAAAAACACCGTTACTGCATATTTGTAGGGCCTGCATGAGTTCCAAAAGACAGTGTTAAAGGAAACATGCGATATGACTTCAATATATTTAAACACCTTTTTTGCCATGTTACTATGACTTTCCACTTCCTTTGTAGTAGCAAAAGGGAGAACATTCAATATTTCAGTCTTATGCTAATAAAAATTTCCATAATCATATGTATTTTGTTTTGCAAAACATAGTAAGGTGCATGAAAACCAGATGAGCGGAATTTCCCCTGCAATTTCCTTTAAAGTCAATTTATGCGACCACAGAAATCATTTCCATTCAACATCATAATTCTTTGAGTTGAAACAATTGATAAAGGTACTTACAGTTGGTTCAGGGAAAGCGAAGAAACTGCCAGATGCCATCTTCAGTCCCTGAGTGCCGTCCAAGTCGAGGTGTGAGACATTGTTGAGAGCACACAAGCGTGTCTTCAAGAAGTAGTTAGTAGACGTGCAGTTGGGTTGATCAACACACAGATTGAAGCATAGTTTCTGCGTCTTTGCGATGGATTGATTCAAACTTGGAGTAGCCAAAGCATAATCGACAAACCCACACATCTGTTGACTACCGAAACTTGGGTGAGCATACGCCAACATCCCCATGAATGCAATGGGAACAATGATGGAAATCGAATACCGTAACAATTCACGCATAACGGTGGCCATTTTGGATGTTGGCAAGGGCTTTCAAGCTGATAAGGCGCGAATTCTTTTAAATCTCAGAGAGAAAATTGTTTTAACGTTTCTCCATCGACTGTCAGACAAGGAGTGATATCTGGTCTATATCTCTAAGGCAATCAGTACTGGCGTAGTGCAACCTGTGCACCGTTCCGTGTATCATTATCACAGAGCTTCAATGTAAATCACGAAATGATTGTCAGGCACCAAAAAGAGAACAGTATGCAATAACGCTGACAATTTGCCAAATTTACCATCCGGCAATAATTCGCAATAACTGCAGAGTTTGTTAGTTTGTTTCATATTGTCTTGGAGAAAAATTTTCTTTAATAATGAAAAGCACGAGGCATATTACAAGGAGAAACGAGCAGCAGACATGCGACGAGAAATTTTCAAATCATATGCAAAAAGTCATATCAGGAAAGAAGCATCCAGAGCGAAACTAATTCGTGCTAAGAATCTACCGCTATTTGCCCGAGCCCACAGTATTAAAACACCCAAGAGAAGAGAAATGATAGGAAACAGTGCAACGCACGAGATGCACAGAGCTTTTTTCATACGCTTTTTAAAAAGATTACAGAAGAGGAAAATTGGTGGCGATATTAATAAACCAATACATTGTACTTCTTTTTGTATGGAAATGCTAAAAAAAGGATGGCTTTAAAAAAAAAACACCTCAATTTATTATTTGAAAGGTAGCATCCGAGTGGATCCACAAACTTGTTTTAACTTTACGTCATACTGATGATCATACTAGTTCGAAATTCTAATTTAAACGAAATAACACTTGATAAGCATACCAACAGTGGTGATTTAGACTATCAGCATCCATTGCGATATTTTGCCCTTAAGCAACTCTCTCAAGACGGCAACATCCTTCTTGATTTCCTGACTCATACGGTCAACTTTGCCCAGAGCGCCCCGGCTGAGTATCGAGATGATGTGCTTCGGTTCTTGGGGAGTGAGGCTTGTTCCAAGACGGGGCTGTCAGGGGAAGTAATCTTCAATGGTGTTGATGCCGTCGTCATACGAGAACAGTAATGTCAGACACAACCTAAAGAACGTTTACTACTTTGCCTTTGCATGAACTTGGCGGACCCAGAGCCTATACTCCTTCCTATATTGTAGGAAGGAGTAAGTTTGGCTTGCTTGGGGATGGGGTTGGGGGTGGGGGGGGGGGAGAGAGGGGATAATGTGAAAAGCTTTGAAATGCCTGTTTCTGGGCTAAAACTTTCTTTTGTTTACCTTTTTTTTAAGAGGGAGACGTTTAGGATAAGATTGTTGTAGGCGAAAATAATAACAACTGTTCAGGGAGGTGTGAGGGCGAACGATAATTTATTTACAATTCCGAATATTAGTTATACAGCAACGATATTCATTCAATCTACAACTGAGTGTGCAATAAGCTGTTAAATTACCTCATCAATTTCTATTAATTATGTTTTTAAGTGGGAAAATAATACAAGTTAAAATCAATTAAAGAAATCAGTGATAAAGAAAACAAAATTTAACTATTCAAAATTTCAAAAAAATTGAAAGGTCAATATTGAAATATTTACAATTCAGACAACCTAAATCGTATGCTTGGTGATAATTTACACACGAAACATAGAGAAGGCTAAAGGTGCAGAACGTATATTCATAAATATATACATCGTCACCGACACCACGAAGTAACACCCACGTTTACTTCAGTGTTACTTCGTGAAAACAGCTTAACGACCAATTTTGGTTTCACGAAGTATTAAACACGCAAGTGTGCGCGCGCTCGTCGGACACTGGTGCGAACGATTTTCGTAATCACAAAGTTACAATACTGTTACGGAATTACTATTTGGATAAAAACGTTTGACAGAAATGTAATCAATCCGTATTCTTGTAGGATTACAGAACATGTTAATAAAAAGCCTTCAAACTGGTGAAATAAAGATGAGTGTTACTTCGTGAAAACGAAAATAACCGAGTCAGCGCACAATGAGTGGACAGTCATTACATTCACTGTGTGGACTTCCGAAGTCCGAGCAAAGGATGTCCACATAAACCAGTTTTCAGATACGCTGTGTGGACTTGCCCACGTCCACACAGGGTTTTCCCCTCTTTGGAAAACAGGTTAAAAGGCATTTTTGGGTTAAGTTTATTTGTGGCAAAATAAAGAGAAACACTTAAGGGAATCATAGAAAAAAATTGGGTTGAAAGAGTTTTCACAATATGAGAAAAATGAAAAAAAATCACTGGTTTTTCTTAACTACACGAAAACAAAGGAATGTCCACACTAGGCATGACATGGTGTACACGAGTGTTACTTCGTGAAAACAAAAATTACTCCTTTCTGTAAAAAAAAAAAAAAAAAATCCGCGCGTAGTGCGCACTCAAGTCCATTTGGGTGTTACTTAGGGACCCGAATGGAATGGAGTAAAAAAAGAGTGGATTCCAAGTTTTGGTCAATTATACAGGGCCGATATTTCATTTTGTTCACGGTCTGAATCGTTACTTTTTTGGAATAATAATGAATTTGCAAGATAGTTATTTCAGGTGATCTGACCTTTTTATTATTATATTTTTGCAACAGAAATGTCATTTCTCTTTTCAGAAGAAATGGTAGTCCTGAAATCGACTGTTTTTCTTTAACTTCGTAGATGTTTACAGTTCTCTTTCGCCGTCCATTTGGTTGTAAATATTCACGGATGCAAGTTTCGGTCCCTGTTCTCAATGCGACATTTAAACATCAGTGTCCTCAATGAAAAAAGCAGCACGCTTTGAATTGGCTACATTTCATTACATATATTTTTTTTCCATTGGAATGACGTTGCCGTTGTTAAAAAGCTAATGATATGCACGCACTTGTCAAATATGTATCAATATTCTCGGTGAATTGTTTTTAACAGTTGTATGAAAAGAGTGCGCTTTGGGTTTCTTTTTCACCACCTGAATTTGTTTTGTTTTAAAAGTAATAACAGCGAATGAATATCATTAAGTGATTCAAAATTGACGCCAAAATATATCAAACACTCATGAATTTAAAACATTTAACTGAGTACTACAGGAAATCGAATAACTTGTTTACAATATTTCAAACCGACGATATCTTAAAACACGTTTCGTCACAATTTTGACAAATTATTTTTACATTGCATTAATTATTCACAAAAACTTGGGCATTAAATTGCGAAATTGCAATGCACTGCCGCTGAAAAACGATACACTTAGTTTCGATATTTGTTCTCAATAATCAAAAAAGTTGTACATACAATCATAAATATTTATCAAATTGCAACAAAGTAAAACTAACTTCTTTTTGAACACTTTTGAAGTGTTACGCTTGCAAATAATGAAATAATTCGATTAATATTGGTCATTGAGGAAAATAATGTGATAAGTAACGTATATAATTCAATAACCAAAAAGTTTATCAGTCTTTTCTGATGTAATTAATCAATTTTACCATTTTAGCTTGTAATAACAAACAATTATTGTTGATGATTTTTTACGCTTTCTAAGTTGTAGCAAACCTTTACAAACTGCTGATGAATTTCATGCGAATTGACAAGCTGACGCGGAAAAATAACGCAATCCATTCACAGTCACATCCAACCAATACAAGTTTTATACACTTACGAAATCAAGTCAATTTAAAGTAAAAATTGCTCCTAAATAAGCGATTGCGCAGGTTCCACGATTTCGCAAAATGGTATTCATTAGTGGTACATATGAACACAGAAACTCCATGTGTTAATTGTGCTTCAAATTGGAATCAGTATTGCTCCTTTTTAGTTCAACCCTTCACAATTTTGATAGGAATGATCATTGCTTACCTTGCTTGATTGGCCAATGTTGCTAAAGAGTGGAAAAAACAACTTGGTGGTTAATTACCCATATTTCCGAACAACTTTAATTGTTATACATATAAATTGGTCAAGTTTGTTGACTAAATTTCCGAGATTGTTCCAGTATTCATGACAATCCGGTGCACTCATAATAAAAGACAAATAATCAGTGCTCTAAAGCTTGAAACCTTGTCCTGAAAGTTTGTCATCTTGGCTAAATTTCCGAATGGCTGAAATTGTCAGCCAAGTTTCAGTTTAGAGACCATTGATCTCCGAGATCGTCTCATTGTTCGTGACTAGCTGATGCACTCTTCGGAGAAGAGAGAAATAAATGTTTGTTTCTGTATCAGAAAGTTTTTCTTTTTATTCAGCTGATATATCTTTCAGCTGATATTCCCTTCTTCAGTTTTCTCGATATTGACGCAGGTGGAGCCACGAGCGGCCGCGCCTTCGGTGATTAACTCCCGGGTGTTATGGTCAATAAGGCAGGTTGAGTTGAGAAAGTGGCCATGGGTGTCGGTAGAGAGGCATTAGTGACCGAGTTGTGTTAAGCTGTAAGTGCAGGCAGCTTCACGAACACAAAAGGCCAGTTGATCGTTATCACACAATTCATCGTCCATTCTGTCATTAGAGCTTGCTGCCATTCTAACACAATCTTGCTCGACATTACCGAAACTATTTGGTTCTCCATTATCCCATACCAAGAATGGCTCGCTTCCTTCTTGACCGTCACACTCCCAGGTTCCTTCAACGTCTTTGTCATTGCAAGCAATCCAGGCCCTGTATAAAGTGTTCGCCTTTTTTGCCAATTCCACCATGAAGTTCATTTCCTCGAGCGAGCGAGGAGCGGCCATCTTGCCTCCCATGTCTTGGCAAGTTGTCTTGGCGTCATCCCAAGAATGCGATGATGGAGTGAGGCGATAGCACTCCTTTCCCCATACATGTAATTGCCACTCTGGTGGACAGGAGCACAGGATACTGAGGCGAGAGTGGCAGGAACCTGACCGAAATTCAGCATTGATCGCTGTGGTGATTGCCACAATGCCGAAAACTCGGATCAAGTACATGATGTTTCGTTGGTACTACGGTAGCAGAGTTTGAAGATGATCAGATGTGTTCTGATTTAGACAACCTTTCGCTTTCTTATCACTGAAGTCGAATGGAGTGAAAACTGGCTGGCTAGGCCGAAAATATGCGAGTTTTCTCTGACAAAAAAACATGTGTAGATAGTATTTAGTTGCTATGGTCACATTCTACAAACAAATTAAGGGAAAGGGGGAACTGGTCTTTACGAGAGGGTACATTCAAGGGGATGGGAGGGGTCGCTTTACTCCTTCCCCCTACAATTTGATGTTAATATAGCGGGATTAAATTTCCCTGCATCACTCAGTAATGCAAATCTTGATTCTCTGACTCCGGCCTTTCCTGCTTTAAAGCGTTGACTGCAACGCCTTGGCTACCCCCTTTTATACGTCGGGCTTCATCATCCCAGTTCCCATCCATCTTTGGAATAATCTAGAAACGTCACTTGACAATTCATCCGGAATTATGTTGACAGTTTTAATGAGTGTGTGATAGGCCTTTTACGAGGCATGTGGTATTGCCTGCTGAGTGATTGACAACACAAATAGGGGCTTGGCTATGACCTATTATGACATATAGTTAAGTCTATATAATCTTGGCGAACGGATATTTGCCTCTTCGCTTGGCGACAGTTTCATTAAAATTTGATACTGGACCATCACTCTTCATTTAATATTAAAGATTGAGTTAATTCGTTGAGAAATGGCCTGATGTGTCAGACTTTATTAGCAAGGCTTTCTTCAGAGGCAAACGACAGAGGGACAAGACACAAACATGTAGGGGGCACACAGGCATGCAGGGTTGGAAGGCGAAACGCAACAGAGGGATTAGTGAGAGCGGACCAGTGTGGGTGAAGATCAAACAGATAAGGGAACAAATGAGTTGATTGGAAAGGATCAAGAAGTATAGAAGGAGGGAATGATGTGGCGTGGTTGCGTAATATCCAGACATAATTAGCGGCCTGTTGTTCCTTTCCCACAAAGGGTCTAGCAAAACAAATCTTGCAGTGAAATCCTTAAATCTCTACACCTTATTGGGGAAAGGCTCGAGATAGATAAAGACAAAACTTTCAGTTGACAAGAAAGTCATACCTATTACTGGAAAGTGCAGAAGTCAATCCTGACAGCTGTAATAAAGGCTTTCGGTGGTGTTCAGTCAGGTTAAATAAATATGAGAAATATCTTTCAAAAGTTATTGTGTTAAAATCAACTTCTATATTTAAATCGCGGTTGTGGACTAGAGCTTAAGGCCATTGTTGTGGGGACGTAAAAATTACTACCCGTTCTTAAAAGTTGATGTTGACTCGAGTCAAGAGGGCGGGTTGGGAGGGCTGGACATCATGTGACGTATGGGGCGCTCTTCAATGCGATATTACTCGTTTGCCGGCTGATCGTTTGCTGAGCAAGGGCGGATCCGGGGGGGGGGGGGGCCAAAGGGGGCCATGCCCCCCCCCCGAAAAAACCGAAACCAATTGTTGTTTCTTTATGTGACGTCGCAATAAAGGCAAGCAATGAGTACACCACCATCTTTTCCTCAAAAAACATTGGCTAAAGTGGTCAGAAATTGCCTCAGATCGCACCACAGAGCATCGAGAATCCAAAAAAATTTCGGGCCCCTTAAGCGGGCCCCGAACCCCACGCCGTAATTTTTTGACCCACTATTTCAGAGACACAAATTTTTTTTGGCCCCCCCCCAAAAAAAAATTGTGTTCTGGATCCGCCCTTGTTGCTGAGTGAAGCTCAAAAATGTTGACTGAGGAAAAAATGGGTGTGTCATCGCCCCCCCCTCCTGTTTGCCACGCCCCTGGAAGATTTTTTTTTTATTAAGGGCTTCCATCTTTCTTAGTTCCATCACCTTGCAAGACGGTACATCCAATCACTGTCACCTGACATATCACCTGACATAAGACACTAGAATTGCTATAAAGTTACAATAATCCTAATGGAAAAAAAACATGTGTGAGTTGTTTCCTTTAACTGACACAAATCATGATTTTATTGGGAAAAATAATATTGCTCAATAATGTGGTCGTATTGTGTCATGATTTTAAATTTTACAAATTTAGTTCGAACTTCTTCAATATGTTGAGAATATTCTAAATGGCTTCTAAATTACATTTTGTTTTTAAAACGCAGGGGTATACAAAATAACATAGACCTGACTGAAACATGTAGCGGCATTGACCAAGAAAACGCCCCGGTAATTTATGTAAGATTAAAATTTGTTTCGGCATAATATCATGAACTCGTTGATCGTGCTGCCAAAAATGCTTTGAAATTTCCATTTTTCTAACAGATGGTAACCAAGTAGCAAAGAGTGCGGGTCATTAAAAGCGAATCCAATCTTTAACAAACGTGATTCTAAATTTAAGATAAAACAGCATTATAACACTAATTTCTTTCAAGCAGTCAAACCTGACAAAAGACATTAAATACATAATATTTAAAATGCATGATCACACACGAACATAGATGTTAAGGCACTTTTCCTTACTATTTTGACTTGTTTCAGCATTTTAAGTAGTTCACTAAAACTTGGGCATTGCAAATGTACAAGGCACGGCCGCTACAAAAACAGAAACAATAAGCTTCAAAAATTATTTGCAATTATCACGAACTATATTTACAATCACAAATATAAATTGAAACAGACTTCGAATCTTCAGTAACAAATGTAATAGTACTGAGATGACTACAATGTGTAGTGGACTATTGCTGTAAGGTTGATACCATTTGTCAGCATAATCCATAATATTTTACTGAAAAGGCGATTTTGGAATCGTTTATTGTGCTGCCCAAAATACACCGAAATGTTCCCTGTCCTGTAATTTCAAATCTAGCATTGCAAACCAAGTAGCAGAGGGAGCGGATTTCTAAAAGCAAATGCAATCTGTAACAAACGTGACTCAAATTGACGATAAAAGCGAATGATGACATTGATTTATTGACAGAATTAACACCGTTTTACATTTGTGATTACATCGATGGTAATGCAGACGCGCTTTTTCCCAACTAATTTGACTTGTTTTAGCATTTTAAGCATGCACTAAAACATGAGCATTACAAATAATTACAAGGCACTTCCGCTTAAAAAGACACAATTAGGCCCAAAATAAAAATACTCGGTCTCTGGTCAGCGCGTGCTCGATTTTGATCAAGCGCGTCGATCTTTTTTTCCCTTCAAATTAACACAGAAGCTACAACAGCGCCCTCTATTGCCGCAAATTTTTGTACCGAGGAGCACCAAGGAATGGGGAAATTGCACCAAGGCAAATGATAAAGGGCACCAAGGCAAATTATGGAGGACACCACTGTGTAATGAGGACACCAAAAGCAAAATAGTACCCACGTGTCTGTCAATTCAAGCTTAAAAAAAAAACCGCGTCGCCGCATCAATTCCGGAACTTCGGTCTGACCAGAGACCGACTATTTTTTTTTGGCCTTAGCTTCAATACCTATTTTTAACTATCACGAATTATAATTACAATCACAAGTACATGTATTTCACAATTTAAATTGAAACCGACTTGGTTCCAAAATTGGTTGTTCAGAAACTTTTAAATAATTATATTTTCAATAAAAATCGGTCATCAAATGGACATTTTGTTTATGAAAAGTTTGTCATAAATAACCAAACATGTTGGATTGGCCTCCGAAGAGTTACAATGCACTTCGTGTAGCACTTCACCGATATGACTCTTAAGCATTGTTTTTCATATTTTGTTGCTAAAATTGAAACGAGTATTTTAAAATTTAACGAATAGAACCAAAACAAACTCTTAATAAAATTTCATGCGAATGTACAAGCAGACAGGAAACACAAGTACACTTTATTCAAAGACACATCTACGTATTTATATCACGAAATAATGGGGGAAAATGAATCCATGTTCTAAAAGTTGAGAATACGCGGTTCCAATAGCCTCAGAACTGCTATTGATGTTATGACACAGACGCTTAGCATTTTAAACACCACATTTCTAAATAAGAAAAAACATTAGACTAATTTTCAAAAAAAGAGTCATTTCGTACTTTTTTTTCCAATTTCATTTGAAATCTTGTCTTATTGGTAATTAAATCGATGTGGCTTACCTCTTACATGAACAAAATATCGGTCGCCTTTTTTTCTTATTTGCAGGAAAAGCGAATTAATCATCACACAATTCCAGAATACAAAAGCCATGTATCGGTAGATCAAGTGTGTAGACTAAATTTTTGAGATGGTTACGATTTTGATGACTAGCCGATGCTATCTGCAGAGCGGAGACAGAAATAACCAGTGTTTTTACATGTATCCTTGTCTTGAATGTTTGCCTTGTTAGTTTTTCAATGCTGAAGGAGCGAGATTCGGCTCTTGGCGCAGGTCAAGCCACGATCGGCCACGCCCTCGATGAGAAAATCAGGGATGTTATGGTCGAGGAGACAGGTTGGGTGAGACTGAGGCCGTGGGTGTCGGTAGAGAGGCACTAGTGAGGGAGTTGGACTAGGCCGTGAGTGCAAACCGCCTGATGAACGCAAAAGGCCCTGTCTGGATCACTGCACTGACCGTCAATCATCCCGCCATTGGCTGAGCTAATAAGAGCGCAATCTTCATCGTTTTCACTCATTAGTTCTCCACCATTCCATGCCAAGAAGGGCTCGCTTTTTTCCTGACCATCACACTCCCAAGTTCCTTCAACTTCTGCGTCATTGCAAGCAATGAAGGCATAGTAGTCACTTTTGTCCACTTTTCGCGCCAAGTCCGCCATGAAATTCAATTCCTCCTGCGAGCGAGGAGCGGTCATCTTTTCCCCCATGGCTCGGCAATCCAAATGGCTGTCGTCCCAAGTAGCTGGTGTTTCAGTGAGGCGATAGCACGCTTTCTCCCATAATTGCCACTCTGGCGGGCAAAAGCACTCGACAATAAGCCGAGAGTGGCATTTGACAGAGAGCCGAGATGGGCAGAGCCCTGAGCCAAATACAGCCTTGATAGATGAAATGATAGCAACGATGACGATAAATTCGGACCAGAACGCCATGATGAATGAGGAACCGAAGAAGTTGCTAAGAACTATTGAAGGTTTCTGTATCTTTGAAAGCAGGGCTATTATAATATGCTATGCATAGGGTCAACCAAACTCTCGAAATGATGACTCTGATGAGCCGTGGCAAAGTAATCAGAGCAATTGTTCAGAGTGTTGTCAACAGCACATACAGCAGGTTACCATAGTAACAGTGCTCTATTGTCGTGTAGTGAGAGCGTAGAAAATCCATAATTCAACTCAGAACGCCATAACGACGTCTGCCATTTTAAAGGCTAGTCACGTACTCATTAAACAAATATTTTTGAAGGACACTCTACTAGTGTGACCATGGCAACAAAATCCATTGCCGTCTTTTAATAGCACTGTTTTGCGCCTGAGGAAAACAAACGATAGAGACACGAGAGAGACGTTTTTCTCTGCAAATTCATAACAGTCTCCAGTGAAATTAATCAGGTATTTGACATTACCTGTTGCTGATTGAGCAAAATATGGGTTTGGCCACGACCTTGTGACATTATTAAAGTGTTAGCGACATTTTACTGCTACGTAGCGAGATAACCTTAATAAATTGTTAATCAAACCTTTACGTTCCAAACTTTAAGAGATCGAGTTAACCGTACTTAACCTATTTCGGTGACGTCACACAATTGTTAAAAGTGTAGATTATTTTCACGAATCTACACTTTACTGTAGATTATTTTGAGAATCTACACCTAACTGTAGATTATTTTAAGAATCCACAGTTTTTGCTGTGAACAATTCCATGTATATTCCGGCACTGTATAATTCTATGTATAATTCCGGCACTAAAAATTTCTTCTTTTTTTTAGTTTCAGTCCATTATAATGAAAAGGAAAAGAAATGTTAATGGTTTTTAAAAATTGTACGAATTTTGTTGTTTTTTTCCGAAAGAATTTGACGTGTACCTGATTTTAATAGATACCCTACTGCTTTAGTTTTTTCAATTTTTACACAAAATGTTCTCGTTTGATTTTTAATTTGCCATGCTAATATTTTTGATATAATAAACGGTGGCGATTATAAATTTTAACCTAAAGCGCAGTGTAAAATATTGCGCTTTATGTTATTTGCAGTTCCCTTTGTTTTATTTTAAGTCTTATTTTATATTTTTATATTATTATCTATATGTTAATGCTGAAATTTTCCTAGTGCTAAATTTAGGGTTTTTTGTCTTTAAATTTGCATTATAAAAAACAATCAGTGGATACCCCTCGGTTAAAGAATATGTACTCATCTGTCAAATAGAATGGACAAATTAACGAAATCAAATGAAACTTCCCCAATCATAAACGTCTCAGAATACAATCCAATGTCATGTATTTTCCAAGAAAAATTATTTCCTGTGGTGAGTGAGATGGGCATATTCCAATGTGTAGCCTACTCCATAAATATCATTATATTAAGGTAAAGAAATGTGGTTCTCGATTGGATGGCCAATGACATGTGGTTCCACAATTAAAAAGCTCTATGCACAAATGAGTTGCTTGCCAACTTTTTCTTGTGCTTGGTGTTTAAACACCTCCCATCAATCCCGTAAAGACAGCATCAAAGTATTTTCCGGTATTATCCCCTAGCTGTAACATACAAGCGCGAACTCCATTTGGCTTTGGGAGTAAGGAAAGACAGTGTGTTCGCACTAAACACTTCTGATCGTGAATGTGTGTGTGACTTACCATGCAGACAAAAAATGTACTGTAATTGATGAATGGAACAAAAGATGTGCACCCATCCGAAGGGTTAACAATAGGATTTTGTTAAGATGCAAGCGCAGGGCCAGGCAAAGTTGACTAGATTGTACGAATCTACACTTATTCACAAATGTGGTAAACCAGGGATGTTATTCGCATAAACTATTGTTGTTTTAAGAAATAGGTTAAGTCAAAGAATAGACACGGAACTGTAGATTCGTGCTAGAATGGACTCGGCTTTGCCTCGTCCATTCTTAGCACGAATCTACAGTTCCGTGTCTATTCTCTATAACATAATGAACTTATAAACATACACTATTAATTTGCTATTCCTTTTGAATATCGCCGCCTGTAGTCCCTTTCTTGCTTGTAAAAAGACCCTTGTTTGGACCTTTAAAACCCCCATACACCCCATCCCGGATGGCAAAGAATAAGAAATGAAAATTGTAGGCCACAATATAAGCGCAAGTATACCCAAACGTTAATTGTAGGCCACACTATGTGCGTAAATACCCCAACGTTAATTGTAGGCCACAATATGAGCGTAAGTATACCCAAACGTTAATTGTAGGCCACACTATGAGCGTAAATACCCAAACGTTAATTGTAGGCCACACTATGAGCGTAAATACCCAAACGTTAATTGTAGGCCACACTATGAGCGTAAATACCCAAACGTTAATTGTAGGCCACAATATGATCGTAAATACCCAAATGTTTTTTTTTTTCCACAACTGACAGCTTCTTGCGAAGACAGCAGACTTAATCCGTTGTATACCACTACTTAGTGAAGCACAATTGATGTGAAATTCGTGTCGAATATCATCGCCTATATGAGCGTAAATACTCAAACGTTAATTTTAGGCCACAATATGAGCGTAAATACCCAAACGTTAATTGTAGGCCAAAATATGAGCGTAAATATCCAAACGTTAATTGTAGGCCACAATATGAGCGTAAATACCCAAACGTTTTTATTCACAACTCATCTTGCGAAGACAGCAGCCTTTCCGTGAAGCACAATTGATGTGAAATTCGTGTCAAATATCATCGCCTATTGTTCCTATCCTGCTCATATAAAAAGGTCCATTTGTAATTGGAATCTTTAGCATCTCCCCCGATATGAAAAAGATAAGATTGCAGGCCAAATGTGTTACCGAAGGAACAACTGACAGCTGAAATTGCTGGAAGTAGTTGTTTTTGTGTTCTTTTCAAGATGAATTTAGGTACGATGTCTTACGCCCTCTTTCAGTGACAGAAATGACTATTTCGGGTGAATCGTTTCACATTACGCGATTGTGGTGACGTCGTCGACCGCCCTCTGTCCACAGATACCTTTATGGGTAAATATTTACCTTTAATTATAAAGCATTTATTTATTTCAGAAAATGAAAAATAATGAGAATTAGGTGAGACTTTAGGCCTTATATTTATCGTGTATTGTGTTAAAAGCATCTTTTATATAAAAAAGTGATAGATGCACTACTATCACAGTTTTAATTAATCACAGTTGTAATGGGCGGGAGCAGAATTTAAAGAATATTTTAGTGTTCGTTCTTAATCGTTGAAGCGCCAAGGTGTGCCTGCTTGCTACGTTCACTCGGGTCGCCGGGGTAGGGCAACTGGACATTATGTGCCGTGTGGGGCGCTCTTCAATGCCATAATACTGGGCAACATTGCACAACAGGGTGGCGCTATTTATGACAGCAAATTACCCCAAGAAAGGAAATCTCCACCGGATCGTTGGCCAACTGAAGCTCTTATGTTTACTGAAAAAATGTTTTTAGATGTGTCACGACTCCGCCCCCCCCCCCCAGTTCACCAAGCCCCTGGATTAATGTATTTTTTCTAATAAGTGCTTCCATCTTTCGTCTATATTCCAACTCCGTTTATGACGGTACATCCTATCATAATAGTCACATGACAGGTCACCTGACCACGCCATCTCCCATTTGCATAGATCGACTTGTGTTCCCTATATTGCTATATAGGCCTAGTTACAATAATCAGAACAAAGAAAATGCGAAAATGTGTTAACCTTTTGCGATGTAATTCTAACACAAAATATTATTTCATTCGAAAATATTGCAACAAAGTGAGTCAGTGGTTGGGCAAAACGTATATTTAACATTGTAAACGCATTGATATGTCATTATTTTACATTTTACAAATATTGTTCGAATTTGTCCAATACGTTGGCACAACCCAGTTTGCTTCAAATGTACAATTTTCATTATTAAGGGGCAGTTAAACAATTCACAATATTGCGATGACTAAAATGTGTAACGGCAATGCCCTAGATTACAGTTGGGTAAAGATGTAAGGTTGAAAGGTTTTTATCAATATAAACCTTGACATTTTTTTTTTACTGAGTATGTGATTTAAAAATCAGTGCGAGCAAAAAATTATACACTGAATATTTCCCTTTCCTTTAAAACAAAATCTAGAAGATGGAAAACAAGTACAGTTAATGGTGCGGGGTCTTAAAAGAATGCAATCTTTAACAAACGTGATTCACAATTGACGATAAAAGTGAATTATAACACTGATTAAATTGAAACACACGAAATAGAATTTAAGGAATTCACAAAATTTAAAATATGTAAACACTTCAAATTTGCTACTTTTGACTTGTTTGAGCATTTCAAGTATGCACTAAAGCACAAGCGTTGCAAATGTACAAGGCACTGCCGCTAAAACAAAGATACAATTAGCTTCAATACTAATTTTCAACTACCACGAAATATGTTTACAAGCATAAATATTTCACGACTTAGATTAAAACAGACTTGGAAATAAAAAAAAATACTCATACATGTTTTTTATTTATATTAAATGTTTAAGAAAAATCCGGCTGTTGGCTCATTTTTGATTTTTTTTTTAAGTAACGTTATATAAAAAGTCCTCGCAAGTGTTACAATGCACTTCATGTAACACTGCACCGATCTGACAACTAAGTATTAGTTTTGATATTTTGTTGTTAAGACTGAATCTATCACTTTAAATTGTAACACATACAATTAATACAAGCCCTTGAGTAAAATCAGGCGAATTCACAAGCAGACGCGGAAATACAAGTACAACTTGTTCACGGTCACATATACGAAAGAAATTAATTTACATTTTTGAAATCAAGAAAATTTAAGTGAATTTATGTTAGAAAGGTTGAGATTAGGCGGTTTCGATCTCTTAACAACTGGTTTTGATATTCGGTATTAAATGACAGAGGAACTTAGAATTTGAAATATCAAAACTTTAGACTAAAGTCATTTAGTTTAATATTTA